GAGAATTTTTCTTCAGGGAATAGGGAAGGGAGATTTGGAATTGAATTCAAGTTCAACTAGTCCTAAGCACGTCCTGCTTTGCAAGGAGGTCAAGTGACTTTCAAGTGCTGAACGATTATTATATTATTAAATAAGTAACAATCATAAGAAGTAAACGTAACCTATAATACTAATTACATAAAAATTTATGTCCATAACAAATAATCGATTAAGGTGGAAAAATCCAAAATCCAACCATATATAAAGATTGAAATCAATCATTTTCAGTGATATTAATAGAACTATAAGAGTAGGACGGCTACCTATAAACATCTTTAACTACTATAAACATCTTTAACTACTAAATCACCCCTCCCTGGTAGATAACTTAAGGGGAAAGTAGAACTTTGGGCCAATTATAGTCTCCTTACCACCAAAAGTCCTATTAAGACTAGTTTACCTGGAGTAAGGTTGTTGCCATACTCCGAACGAACTATATGGCAGTACCATCAATATGGTGATTAATTAGTAGAGTAATACTATTTTTTTATTATTTTGAATTATACAACTTTCTCACATATATATATATATATATGGTTTACTAAAGTGATTTTAAATTAATTTATATACTAAAAAATTTCTCTCTCTTTAGACAATTTTTAAAACTCGTGTTCACGTTAACTGATCACATTCAAGCAAATTTTTTATCTCGGTCTTAACATTTAATTTGTGAACTTTTTTTTCTAACCTAATCTTAATAGCTTAACTTGTAAACTTTTCTTTTTAACTCTTTTATTCAACCCACCTGTGCGCATGCGTATGACTTGAACAAATACCTCATATTTATATTATAGGAGATTATCAATTGGCGTGTGTGCTCTGGCATGGATTAATTAGGAGAAAATGAAAGACGTCAAAATCTCGAAAGCAAAAGACAGAAAAATTAAATGCATTTGAAGTAGGTGTTAGTTATATACTTATATGGTTGGTAATGTTTCTATTAATTATAAATTAATTTATAGTCAAGGTTATATCTTGAATTTTATTTTTTTTTTTATACTAATCTCTCGTTATGTGGTTATCATATTGAATTTTGACTAATTTAGAATCAAACCACGTTGACCCAATTTAGGAGGGAGTTCTCCCATCCTTTTGATTCTCCATTTACAATACTCAAACTCGAAATCTTATTTAATAAAAACCGAATTCTTTCCACTCGAACTAATATGTTGGTTAATAAGGTTATATCTTGATGGAAATTAATCACAGTTGTTCACCAAATAACACATTCACGATATGACACCTCAGGGTTTAACCATACTTTACAAGCAACTTTAAAAACATAATATTATGGCGGTTATAACTATAACATCAAAAACATAAATTTTGGAAGGAAAAATAATTAAATATATCTTTTAATTAATTACATAAAACTTTGAACATACAAATTATATTTATCGTATATTGTCCGCTATCAATCATAGTAGTGGGTAGCCAAACAAATAACATTATTTTAAAAAATAGAGTTGATTATTTTTAATATTTACGGTCAGATATTTTTAAATTAATTTTCAAATATCTTGAGATTAATTCTTCTTTAAATAATCTTAAAGCACACTTTTATATCGATTTGATACATTTAAAAAAATTAATTTTTAAGTACTAATCCCAATACTTAGATTTTAAATTTAGATGATATTTGTTTTCTAATGGATCTTAACCCTTGGTCCAACTCTGGGGGGTAAAAAAAAAAAATAATAGAGCTGATACAACATGATATCTTGCAATATTTACATGCTATTAAACAAGTGAAAAAAATTCACTGTCCAAGCCAATTTTAAACGCAACTACCCATTTGGCGAGCCCTTCAAGGCTCTAGGGTAACTAGCATTCTTTTTTTTTTTTTTTTTTTGACAAGAGTAATGGTTAGAAAGTTAGTAAAGTTAGTTTGTTAGCAGCTGGGATTTCCCAGAATGATGAACATTCCACCCCCTCATATAAGGCGCACGGCCATTAAGTCACAAATTAGTGGAGTTCACGGCGGTGGCAGAGCTCGAAACCCTAAGCTCCGCCTCACCCAAACCTTAAGGCTTGAAGACCAACCATTGGGCCTCAGGCCCGGTTGGTGGGTAACTAGCATTCTAGTATGGTCAGGTTCTAGTGAAAATTGACCCAACAATTGCCAGCAATAAATTCTAGTTGAATAAGAGTGCTTTTACAATGATATTTCAACAGCCCATCCCAACGAACAAGGGAAAAAGAGAAGGAATATACAAGCATTTTAACCACCATGGTACTCAAGGAATGCTTACATGATTCTCCAGGACTCAGCTAACAGCTCCTCCTTCATCAGCATTTCAGCTGAAGGGATCCTCCATGTTCATGGTTAGACTCAGAGCCACCTAACCTGAAAGGAACCCAATGGCAATTAGGAAGAAAAAAGAGCATCGAGGTGGAAATAGAAATGACCTTCATACTGTTTACCAGAAGGAAAAACCAAGATTAAAGAAACAAGCCTTCAAAAAGGATTGCCTCAACCAATAAGAGCTTATCCTAATTGATATCCATTAGCTTTTAACACCTTGATTTAGGATTAAGAGAAAAGGTCCAATATAGCCAAGCAATACTAACAATTTCCCTAAACCAACAAGACCTTAGTCTGATGGCTAATAAAAAAAAAAAGACCTTAGCCTATTGGTATCCAATAACTTTAAAACCTTGATTTGAGGTCAGGTTGAACCCTTATAATTGCTAAGCAACACTAACCATTTGGCCAATGAAAAAAAATTAGAAAAAAAATAATAATAATAAAAGAAGAAGGAAAGATACCTGATATTTAACTGGAAATAATGAACAATTTGTTCACACCTCAGACATTTGTATACCAAATGATATAAATCTTCCAACTTCTCTCTAAATTTATCATTCTAGTGAAATTGAAAAATACACTTGAGTGAAGAACAAGGGAGCGAAATCATCAAGTGACCAGAACCCATCCCAGCAGCCGACTGTAGCAAGCTCAGTAACAAGCTGTCTTCTGATATTCTATATTTCAATATCCATTTAATCAATATAATCTACAATACACGACAAAGTTCTGCTAGCGGAATCAACTATAATGTTTCAAGCAATCAGTCATTCATCATTGCGCATGATCCAAAATTGTCATAAAGGAGTTTTTTCGGTATGCTATACCTGAAGAGAAAATGCCATGTTTACACTGGAAGTACAATAATAAGAACCCCAATATTTCTTTTCTTTCACTGAAGGGATGCAGATACATGTGCTAGCTTCTGAGAGCTATATTTGAATTACCGTCTAATATCAATCCATATCCAAATAGAGGTGAGCTGGCTTCATTTCTGCTTCTTATAACATGCCTGGTTTGCTAGTATTTTGCTATTAAATATACTAGCTTTTATGTTTACTCCTTTACTTCCTCATTTTGGCAATAACTCTGTGCATTTGTTTGAGGACAGATAGGTTGAGTTGTCCCAGTGTGTTCATTTCTCATCTATAATTGGACTTCTCTCAGTTCAGTTGTTATCCTCTAATATTTATTAATGAAAGGAATAATAACCAATCAAAAAGGTCCTCTGAGTACATTCTATGAAACTTCTCTCATACTCCAAAAATGAGGAAAATAAAACTAAACAAAATACAAAGCCATTAAGACAGTCCCATGATATTAAATATTGAACCTCACTTGTTTGGAAAAGAATGCCAAATTACTAACTAGGAAGACGCTTTAGTTCCACAATTTCTCATGTTGATCTTCTTTGGAAGAAAATTATCTTCTTCCTGTTAGAAAATATCAAAAGAAACAGGTCAGTGTTTTGGCATTTAAAAGTTGGGAATAGGCATTATTATACATCAAGTAATCATTCAGCAAGTAGCCACAGACACAAGGTTGGCAATAACTGCCCAGAGAAATCTTTCAAAATGAAACCGAAGCATGAGAAAAGTTATTCATATTTTATAACAACAGATCAAATATAGGATGACTTTAGCAGTTATCATTTCCCAGGAGAAGTCAGTGGAGCTTGATAATCAGCCATCGTCCTTTTCACACACCTATCATTAGTCTATACACACATTGAACAAATAAAACAACTACAAACGCAGGGGCAACATCATCATCAAATTTTTTGATTTTGTCTTTTTTTTTACTGTTAATCACTAGGAATAATATCAGAACAAAAATGAGGTAAATGGAAGGCCTTCTTCTAAAATTTGGCCTGCTAATTAATAAAAGGATCAATGAGGCAAGCAGTAAGAAATGCTTCTTCTTCTTTTTTTTAAATCAAACTAATTACAGTTACAATGAGCATACAAACTTAGACAAATAAGCTCTTGATGCCAGTGAAAAAAAAAAAAATTAAATAACAAATTCTATAGTCCAAATATGAATGGTTCAGCGAGAAACAAACCTCAAGGAAGAAAAAACGTTTTCCCATCATTAGTTGCATTAAGAACTTTTTTTGGCTTGCCCATCACGATTTCTCCAAGGGTTAAGAGCTTCTTTGATTGCTTGAGCTTCCGGGGAGGTCTCCCATGCTCGCTTCTCTGACTCCAGCACAGTTACTTTATCATCTACAGCTCAGGAAAACCAAAGGTTCAGTGAAAAAGTAAGGGAATGAAACATTCATTAGATTCAACATGTTGCATATCCATTATTTAAGCAATCAAAACAACTCCCACCCAAAATCTGAAACCCCAAAAGCAAGCACCTTCACTACTCCCAGTCCCACACCCATAAAAGATTAAAATTTTCCATGCGAATTGAATCGATAAAGTTAAACGAAATGGGTAATTGGAGAAGAAAGGAAAAAGAGATGGAGGGTTCTCACACAGAAGCCCGTCTTGATCATGAACAACTCCATGGAGGCTCCGACGAGAGCAGAGCCAACCGCGATCTTCAAGTACCAATCTAGGAACTTAATTTTCATGGTAATTACACTGCATTCAGATACCGGAGAAGATAAAATCAAATTCCTTTTTGAAGATGAGAGCAGGAAGAATCTTGTACCGACTGACGCAGAGCGTGAAAGACTCGGGCAACTGTGAAAGTAGAGGAACCCTGAAAACAGTACTTTGAGAAAGACGACGATTTTTGGGTCTGGGCCTGGGCCTGGGTCATTTTGCCCACTTCTTTCGGCCCTTTTTCTCCCTTGAATTTTTTTTTTTTTTGCATAGTAGAAGATATCTTCCATCCCTTATTAATTTATTATATCTCACTCATATACCATATTACTTGAATTTAAGATTTTTTATTTTCAATAGAAGAAAATAATCATTAAGTTTCTTAAGTCATTGTCTTACTTTTGGTTTTCTTTTTTTTTTTTTTTTTGGTTTTTTTAATGTTAATTGTATAATAAAAAATAATTATCTTTTATCATTTATTATATCTCACTCATATACCATATTACTTGAATTTAAGATTTTTTATTTTCAATAGAAGAAAATAATCATTAAGTTTCTTAAGTCATTGTCTTACTTTTGGTTTTCTTTTTTTTTTTTTTTTTGGGTTTTTAGTCCCTTATATTTTCTTAGTGTACAAAATCCCTAGTCTCCACCGGTTGTATCAACCACCATTGTGGTCCGATAATTATAGCTTTTTAAAAAAAATTGGTGTATTTAAAAGTTTAAAATTTTAGCTTTTATCAATCTCATTTTTCTATCATGATCATTTCTTAGGATTGCACATATTACTCAAATTTTATTTTAGATTGGTTATTAAAAATAATTGATAGAAATAAATTAAAATTAATTTATAAGTAAATATTTTAAAATATCATAATTAATTTTTAAAAAAATTATAAACAATAAAAAAAATAATTGAATTATTTAATAATAATAAATAATATATGATTATAATTACACTCATTTCTATCGATCCCTAACCACCTCATTTTGTCTTGTCTCCCACCGCTGCCTATTCATCCATCCGTCATGAAAAGGAAAACACCATTTTTCGCAAGGAAGAATGACAAAGAAAGAGAGTAATACAACTATACAAGCAATGCATAGTAACCAAGTGGTCAAAATGGAGATTTTATCTAAAATTGTTTTGGTTAGGTGATTTTGGAATCGTAAAATCGAATCGGTAAAATTGAGATTTTACAAATTTTAATATATAATATATAATAAATTATATAAAATCAAAATTAAATAACAATAAATCAAATTTAGAGTTAGAAACTTGAAATTAACTAATTCAAATATAAATATCCAACAATACAAATAAATTAAACGAAGAAGATGACTTAAATTTAGAATTTTAGATGATTAAATCAAATTTGTCTCGAATTCCCGATTAAAATGTTGATTTGTGGTTGGGTTGTGTGGGTTGTGGGCTTTTAAAATGAAAAATGAGTTTAATTTATGGGTTATTTAGTCAAAACTCACTAACCCAAAATGAGAAACCCAAAAGGAAATAAGCAAAAAATCCAGCTGCCAAATAGAAGGTAAAATCGAGATTTTACCTGATTTCACGGTAAAATCTAGATTTTACC